AACGAATATATATCTTTGTGTCTTTAGCAGGTATGGAGATCTTGAACCTTGAAACAAAACTTTTGTTGAGGAAGAAGTGAGCGGTCGCATAGGCCAAGAAATAAATTATTAAAATATATTTAAGGGAGTTTTCTCTCTGAGAAACAAGTATACGTTGCTGGCTGACTCAAAACACAAAACAAAGCACAAAAATGTTAGGACCTGATCAAATCAAAAAAAAGAAGAAGCAGCAGTCGTCATCAGAAATGACTCACTATAATTAACACTGTCTGTCAGCAATGCATCTCCGCAACGTGAACTCTACACCTTTATCTGAAGTAAACTACATTTTCCGGTATATATATACACACACAGTACCACAGCACACAAAAAACAGAATTTTGTAGAATAAAAGAATAACACTACAACTGAGGACCTGCTTACCTTGGCCAAAACCGTTTGCTGATGGATGAACGGCAGCACAAGGAGTCGTACTGGTCAGCCAGCCATACCAGTGCCATCACAAAAACTGCCGTACTACTGTCATTGAAGAACTCAACCAAAATAGCTCTCATACCTTAAAAACAACTAAAAAAATAAATGTCATAAAGCGTGTTATATTTATTGTCAGTATGGACAGTACTCCTTAGACGTTTCTCAGCAAAATTAAAGTGATAAAAACGTAGCGGCACCGCAGCGGGAAGTCATTCGGCTTTCCACTTAAAAAGCACGGATCGGAAAAACAGCACAGTGTAAAACTTTCTTGTTAGCTGCCAGTTACCCTGAACAGATAATCTACCCACTTTGTTTCGGTACAATCAGCGAAGGAAGATGCAGGAAAAGAATGACGTGCCAAGAACACGGACAGCAAGGTGTTTTGTAGCGATAGAGCTTCTGGAGCGTTATATTGTTGGAACGTAGTTCTGACCGATATCATCAGCTCATGTTGATTTACTCCAAGGCTTTCCAAAAAGTTCTGTCTACTGCCATCTTTTCCATCTTGATCCAGCTAACTTCTTCAGGTCTTCCTGTCATCGATCTAGAGATCTTCCTATGGGCCGTTTACTATCTCCTTGAATCGGATCTAATATCTTACTGGACAAATGACGGTTGGTTCTTCTTGTACTCTTAACTTCCTCCCCAGTGCAATGACATTGCAGACAGTGATTTGAACCCTTATACCTTTCCTACCTTTTGTTGTTATTCCCAGTATACATGCCATTTTTATTCTTCTGTTGATTTCACTAACTTTTTTCTCCGTTGCAGCCATGAGCTGTCTAAGGCAGGCATAATTTTGCCCGTATTCAAGCTTAAATCCGTTGACAGCAAATGTGTGGTTACATATTTGTTAAACATGACCTGAGTCTTCTTTAGGTTCATTTCCATTCCTTACTTTGGTGCTGGCATCGCTCAGCTTTTAGATTCTTCTTTGAAGTTCTTCTGGCGAACATGAAAGGATCAAAATATTCTCCACAAATCAATCACAGATAGCTTAAGCAATGCCCATTTACGTTTAGCCTCTAATTATCCAAATTCAGTGTCGTGAAACGTTTTTTTACGACTGCTCCCGACCGTATATGCCGAATATGTAGAATTGCAAATAAGACACAAAAAGATAAGTTACCAATCAAAGCGAGTACCGCGGTCAGCAAAGGAGCGACGGGGATCATGATTACACGATTCATCACGAACATCTGCGACAGTTGCAGCATGCATAGAAAAACCTGATTATAAAAGAAGCGCACCAAAGTCGAGATGAGAAACGTCTAAAAACACATGATGATCACAACAACTGGTACTCCCAACTACGAACACTTACGAAAACAATCATAACTGAAAAGCCAAGCAAGTAGTAAACGCCGGTCATCCACATGACTACGAATCGATAATGCCGACCGGTAACTAGATTTCGCACGTAGCCTAAACACACAAGACGGACCATCAGCAACAAGCAGCCACAACCGAACCTTTCATCGCTACCTTTGCCCTCTTCGTCGTCGGCGAACGACCTGATGCTCGACATCATTATGTCGTCGTAACCGAAAAAACGGCTGAGCAGGAAGCGTCCCAGCGTGCCCCCGAAGCAAGTGTTTTTCGAAGCATCTAAAAAAACAAAGCCCGGATAATGTTAGAAAACGCAGCAAACAATTACCCTACTCAATCTAACCACCATAACTGGAATTTTCAGCCGTCGCCTAGTTGCCCAAGACAACCGCAGTAATCCATATTCGAGTGCGTATTCTAATGCATACCGATCTTCGCCATATGCTGAAAAGATCACAAACTCACGAATTTATGAAACAGTTGACAGGTATTAAATAAACAATAAGCTAATATAAACAGTAAAGCCAAAAATAAGATATTTTCATCAAGAAGTTTTCGGAAGTTTACCATGCAGCTTACAAATATGCCTCACAATAATTTTATTAAAATACAATTATATAAGTTATAACGAAAGATAAAACGTTGGTTCTCAACAGGTATATTCGCTTACCACCATAGTGTTCAATGCTTTGCTCCGTCGCAGTTGACGTTGCTTCAGACTCGTCAGAAAAATCTTCAATATACACTTGAATACCATCCCTGTTAAGCGCAAGGTCCTTCGGAAAACTGCAAAAAATAATACAGAAAATTAGGAATATACTTCATTCGAAACCTTCCAACATTTGCCCTATTAAGTTTTTAAAGGATAACAAGAAAATAATTCCATACTTCGTAGAGAAAATCTGAAATTAATACTTAACTACATTAACTATGCACGATTCCTAGTACTTGTTTTGACACCTGTAAGTGACAAGAAAGATTTTCTAGGATTTTACACCATGTTAAATGGTTACAAAGTAGGGAGGCTATCTGAAGTGAAGGAGAAAAGGGTGCTGGGCATTTCCCTGTAACATTTAAAGTCTTTACAATAACAGATATGCAACAGCAATATAAACATATGCGATTTTTTTACTTTTGCCATAATTTCAGCCGTGACTTTTCTATCCATCATTTAAAATGCTCCCGTCATCGACTCCTTTTTTTAACAGGCCTGGTTGCCAAAGAAAATCGGTTAATTATGGCCAACCAAAACATTTTAAGCATTTGAATTTTTAATCTTATATGTGGTTTTAACTCCCCTGGAGTTGCACTCATTAAAAAACTTTATTTAAAAACAAATAAGCAATTTCAAACGTTTGTGCAATCTTGTCGTAGTTTGCTGTTTCAATTGCTTACGCGATACACAGGCAGTCCGCAACATTACATTTAAATCACAATAAATTAGCATTTAAGGGCTTGTGTCATATATAAGCATTTGTGAGCGAAAGCAGCAGTACGTGAGAACAAACAAATGAAACAGAAAAAAATAATCGAAGTACAGTACGAGCATTACCGCTGTGTCGAAATTAAGAAGGAACTGAACCGTGATATTCGTCCTTCAAGTCTGCATTTATCCTCATCTATGGTAATGCGTCTTCAATACTGGGTGAAAGATTGGAATAAAAATTAGGCTAATTCGAAGATACTCTCTGAAAACCGAGAAAGTACAACTGCAATGACTTGAGCATGGACCAGATTACCCGAACAGACTTCAAATTTGCGAGCAATTGTGGGCCTTCTGGTAGAGTCATTTTCTTCAACGGCGGCCAACGGACAGACCAAAAGTACATAGCCAGAGTATCCTGAGCACTTTGGCAGACCTGTTGTTGCAATTTAAAAATCGGACGGAGTGGGGGGAAGGGGTTCTGGAGCATATGCGACTGCTGGTAAATCGTGAATACTCGGATGAAGACGCTGTAAATTTGATGACTCAAAAATCTAAAACGCGTGGCGGGCTTAAAAAATATGAGTGAGTGACGAATGAACAGATCAATAAACGAATCAACAAATAAGTGAAAAAACCGATGAATGAAGCAAACAATCAAGTGTGGGCGACAGAAAAAATGAGTAAAAATGAATGAATGATTGAGCACGTTGCTGCCCCTATCCGATAGGAACAGCTTACTTACAAAACATATAACCAATGACAGAGCAAATCAGTAAATGACCCAACAGACAGAGAATGATAAAACGAATGAATAGGCGAAAAGATAAGGAGAACGTGCTAATGAAGAAATAAATGACTTAATGGAACAATAAATGAAATCATGAATGAGTAAAAGAATGAGTGATTCCCGTTCATAAATCAGAGTGAAGGAATGAGAACGATGAAAATCTTATACATGAAATATTTACACAGGATAGGCTAATGTCTGAACATAACTAATCCCCTGGATGTTAAAGCATTTATCAGCCAAGTAACGAAACTCACCGCTGCCTTTACCTACTTAACTTTTTACGAATGAGCGAAGAAAGGATGAATGAACAATTGCGTGAATTTTTAAGTTCCACGGTATAGCGCATCTGAAGCAGATGGCGAAAGCTGAAAGAATTCAGGAGGAGAAAGGAGGAGCAGCGCATTGTTGCTCTTCCATCCAATACTTCTAACAGTTCTTGGTCTCAACCGAATCCGGCAACGGGGTATTGATTCGGATCGTTGTGTCTTTCAGCACTGACTCTTCATGAATATCAGCCGAGGAAGTGAATGCCTTCGTGTATTTCTATTTCGAAGTTATTGGGAAGGAGGTCTGTTCTACGTCCCAGTTCCTTACTACCAAAATCCTCGACGATTCGACACCTCATCTGCATGCCGTTCATACAACTCGCAAGCTACAAGTCGAGAATGAATGCAAACCGGGCGGAACTAAATCCTGTGAAAGTTCGAACAGAGCTATTCCTTCGCTCAGTTGTGCCTCGCTTATTCCGGATTCGGCAGACTCCTTTATAAATTTAAGAATGAACAATATGTAATTTCACTCCCTTGAAAAAAACAGAGGAACTGGAAAACTCCGTTTATGAGTACCAGCTCCTCAAACATAGGCAGTGTTTAGAGCGATATGCATCTAGTTGACAAGATTATGCCGGATGCTCTGACACTACAGTTGCTAAAATACCATAGACAGTTGACTGCTTAAACGCCCTTACCCAGGCAATTAGTAGCCAAAAGGCAGTTCGATGCGAGGTTAAGTTCGATTTTGGAAGAATAATTAACAGTTTTATCTCTTCCGGGGAATGAACAGCTTATGACCTAGAAAACATCTCATATCGCAATTAAACTGATTAACTGAAGGGCATATTAGATGAAGCATTCCAGAACAGCTTAAACAGTTGTTGTTTGGTCATCGCCAAAATAAGATAATAGTAAAGCTTAAAGAGCGGAATACCCCAAATTTACTATTTGACTTTAGAAACGGTACTTCAGATTGACCGTCCAGCACAGTCCAATATACCAAAATGTGGCAACTCACCGTACGTCAAACATCGAGTGAAGCACCGTTACTGAGACTCGTCACGATGAAACAGGATATCAGAAAAAAATAAACACTATAAATGCTGAATAACGCGAAACCAACAAGCAAGAAACCAACAATGTTAACCAAATTCTTCATCTTCATCTTCCATCGCCGCTTCTCCTTTCGGGTCGCGGAAGCAGACGCGACAGACAGTGCTT